CCCTGTACAAAAAGTACGGAAATTTTTGAATGTAAGTTGAATGAAAGATATTGATTGCAAAAGATAATCAACGATAAATTTTAATTGATACCATTTCCTCACCATGCGAAAACCCTATTTTGGGTGTCAATGTTTTATACATCATCCAATATTTGGAACCATCACTATTATCGGAAATTTACGTTGATTTTGCTCAATAATTTAGGTACAAATGAATACTAACTAGATAACTAGGCATGGACAAAAAGAAAATCTGGCCTAATTTGATTACATAGCTTCACTGAACTATAATGCAACGAGAGTCTGATGACGTCAGTATAAGAGAGGCACATTTTTGTTTATTGTTTGGCTGTATACATTGCGCAAATATTTGTCCTCCTGACCATTGCGTTTACTTTTCAAATCTCGTAAATTTACGTACCGGTTTTTTCGCGTTCAACCATTTCGTTTCCTCCTCCCAATTGACGTTTACGGTTGAAACTTTTTCAAGTTTCCCCCTCAAGTGGCTCAACTTTGCGAGTAACTTCGTTTACCTTCGTTCCCGCCAAACTTGAATGCTGCGTCAAAGGAAAAAGTGTCGCCTCTCTTGGTTACTTCGATCGTCAGTCCCTCGCAGGGTTGCCACGCCGGCCACTTTGAAGAGCACTTCTCCAACTTGCAACGAATCTATGGCCCATCAACACAATTAGTTACCCTGTAGTGCATGCGGGCCTGTTCTTAATTTGAATAATTTCCATGTTATAAATACAAAGCAAAATAAATTTAATGTATTTATTTTAAACTATGAGATAAAATCTTGGATGTTTTGAATGATAATGCCAAAAATTCGGTGAAAACTCACTGCAATCAGTAATGTCGGAAATGCAATTCAAGTAATAAATTCGGTAATTACACTTCACGAGTAAATGCAGAATACGGAAGATGTTCTCAAAAATATCCATGAGTATTCATCATCAACGAAAGTACGCTAATAAATAATATCAAATTATATTATTCATTAATACAAATAAATTATTCATTGATGAAATCTCATCATATATCAATTTATTCTCGATTATAGTCATCCTTGCACCTGAACGAAACAATATTAAAAAAGATGGAGTGTAACTAATTATAAATATGAAAATATTTTCAAGATTTGTTTAGACTCCACTCAGACGTTCCTTCAATAGAAAGTTCATAATGAAAGGCTGCGTGAAATATGATGACATTTGAGGCGTCATTGACGAGGGAAAGCTTCCCTCGGATTGCTCGTAACTGTCGACGCTAAAACACGCGCGACGGCTCGTAGATGGACGGCACGCAGAGCCAGCAGATATTCTTCGTTACGTAGATTCGTTCACAAACATATTTGAAAGCTGATATATCATTTTGTTTTCACATTGAAGGCGGTTTCTGTATATAATCTTACTATTGCAAATAAGGTGTGACTGAAAAGTAATATCTCACTTTTTTGAAGCCAGAGCACGAGATAAAAACAATTGTACTTGGTCAAATTAATCTTCAGAATTGAGAATTATATGCCAAATATTTTTCACTCTTGACCCGAGAGCTCTCTTTCTACTTTCTTAATACGATACTAAAACTTAAGACGTTTAATGAATTGACCACCAGTACAATGTGCGTGATAAACATGTCCCAGAAGAACGAAATAAATAGAAAATAAATTTATGAAGCTGGAATGCAACAGTTGCGTTTGAAATGAAATAAAAAAAAAACATCGCTCACATTTAGAAATTGGGGGTGGATTGAAGGCTGGTGAGCATCTATCCATCCGAGATCCATGGATATGCACACATGGATATGCCTCGGTGTATGCCTCAGTGATCCATGGATATGCTAACACATGGATATGCCTCAGTGGCAGGTTTTTTCGATCCGTGATGAAAGTCATTTAAGGACTACCGATCATCTTGCATCGCTGCAGTTTACACGTATATAGAACATTAAACTTTATGAGCAAGATATAATCATTCATTAATTTAGATTTTTTTGAAATTCTTCAAAACATTTTGGTGGTTGGGAATTTTCTCTTCCAAACAAATCTAATTTGTATGGAAGCGTGTTCCATTAATTAATAAAAACTTTCGTCTAATGAACGTCTGCGTCAAAAGAGAGCGCCGAATTTTTCTTCTTTGCCAAAGAATCAGGCGTTGTTGGAAGATGTTAAAGTTGACCACAAAATCGGAGTTTTTAGACGGCCACTGTAAAGCCTACGGTTGGCGCCCGATAACGATAGAGCAATATTTTCCAATTAGTAGGTGTCGCCTTCCTATCACAGGTTCCTTTATTCATTTGTATTTAATTGAAGCTGAATAGGCAGTAAAAACCATAACAGGAAAATTTACTCGGAATGATGCAACGGATATAGCATCTTCACAATGGTCGTTCACTGCTTAATCCGTTATAAATTACACAAATCTACACCAATACTTTCTTTGCGTGAGTTCGGATTGCAAGAAATTTCAGGAGTTAAAAATCCAATGCGAAACAGAATATTTTTTCCATAATATTAAACTTCAAATTGTTTTTAAATTTTAGGTCTGTCATGAAATTTTGTCATGAAATTTTGGTTGATTTTAAAATAAAATACATAATACAGAAAATATTTAGACTGCGGGGCTAGGTAATGGTTTTAATAACACGCTGACAGTTGCCAATGAAAAATCAGCGAAGTTCATCGTCTATGACGCTGCAAATTTGTTAGATACAAATTTGCAAGGCTCACTCTGTTTGAATAAGCATGATGAAATTAAAAATTTGATCAAAATATGCGCCAAAAAATGAAAAACTTCTTCTGATCAATAGAAAATTGCATATTCGGATCAAAATCGAAGCATTTTCCTAATTAACATATAAACGCTACATAAAGTTAGTATCAAATCATTTATTAGGAAAATTATTTAAATATTCCTTCAGGTCGATATTAAAACGTTTCATCGCATCTATATTGAAACATTTTTATGTTCAGTATTAAAAGGTTCTTTTTGAGAAATATTGTAAGTTTTTTCGTTTGTATATTATTTTGTTATGACATTGAAAGGTCTTTTCGGACCAATAGCATTAAAACTCTTAATTCACATACTTTCAGTTGCACAACGATATATTGTTGATGTTGCGTTATCGTTTCCAGTTTTTTCAATTATTGCAAATTTAGTATTATTTTGTTGCTCACAACCCCCTATAATTTATCGTTCAATATAGGCTGACTGACTTTTCCACTACTTTTCGCACGCTGTGGCACCCCCGCCATATTTAAATGAAAGTTTCTCGTAACTAATTTCACGTCAAGGTCCAATATAAATTTTTTTTACGAAGAAATATTTTCAAGCGTGTAACTTAAACTCCACCTTAAATCGCTCATACGCCCATGGAGATGTACATTTTGTACATCGCTTTAATATCGCTTTAATATCGTAGCATCGCTTTAACATCCTGCCATTGAACTCTAACCTCCTTCACTCTAACTTAAATGGCCAAGTGTTAAATCCGGGGACTGTAGTGAAACATAAATAGTGAAACTGTGGCGACATTCAAATTCTGTACAGGTCGTGGTTTTCGAATACTTGAAGCGTGACCGCGTTTAAAAACTTTATCGTTTGCTTACTTGCCATCCTGCAAGTGAAATGCGCCTATAAAGCATTAATTTACTTGGTATTTGCACTTTTTTCCTATCAAATAAGGTGCCCATCAATCATGAGTTTACAGTGCAATATTGAAGAAATCAAAGAATTTAGCGGTGCTCGGTTGTCAACTTGGTAGTCATAAAGTTAATTTTTGCCCAGTATACCATATTCGAATATTTACACGTCCTCGGTCCTACGAGCTTTATTTTAATTTAGATTAAAACGACGCTTAAACGAGAGATCTGTATGACCAAAGACAACATGAATCAATTGAATCTGATTTAACTTCCTCACCTCAACCATTTTTGTTAGATTTGCTTAATACTTTTTTTTTGCATGCCGTAAATATGCTTCCTTGACGAGATGAAACCCAGGCGCAGGTATAATTTACTATAGTTCGAACATTTTGTTTCGTAAAATCTCATGACTTCTCCCGAGCTTGGAAGCTATTCGTACCAAAATCTAGATAATTCAAAAACTGCAACGAGTAAAATTCTGTCATGACAACTTAAGATTTTTCAATTATCTTGTAAAATTTCATACAATAACATACATTTATTTTTTAAGGAGACCGTGCGTTTGGTTTCTTGTAAATCTCAAACATCAATACAATTGTGCGATTATTTACCTTATACAATAATATTTCTAGTCGAGTCACGCGGTTTTAGGGAACACCCAACGATTTCAATTCTTAAAATTTCATGAATATTTTCCGGTAAATGGCCTTTTTTATTAGATAAAACGGGTAAATGAATCTTAATAAATCTGTGCATAATCTGCTACTCTCAAATGAAATAATTTTTTTATTTATTCTTCAATGGTGTATATAATTTACGAATTTACGACAATTTCACAGCTAATATTGCGTATAAAACTTTAATTAATTGTGGCTCAGAAATGAGCAGCACCTCTTCTGAGTTCAGAGTACTCGAGTGTCTCTAGTGCTCGATAGCTAATTATTGGAATGTTCGAAAATAAGTTATAATTGAATTGTTGAAAGTCTCCAGAACATATTTGAAGTTTGTGATGAAATAATTCCGATATTATGATCTCCGTGAACAAAGGCTTTAATATAAACATGAAATTTGTTACGATCAAGTGAAAATGTCTATTACGTGATCGGAATTCACATCTCAAAAACTAACTAACCTACTGACGTTGAAAACTGATTTTCAGGAACGAATGACTGAAATCTCGAGATCACTTTAAGAAAATCAAATGACTTTCTGTAAAAGTTTGTGAAAGATTTCTAAACTAGAATACGCATTAAAATAATTGAATTGTTATGTTTTTATTGCAAGTTGCTGTGGTGGAGGTGGTGGGTGTGGTGGGCGGCAGCACAGCGCTGCCCTGCAACGTGCAGCATCCCGGCGACGACGCCATATTGCTGCTGCTGTGGTTCAAAAAAGGACTAACTACTCCTATTTACAGGTGAGGATTTGCCACTCCTATTAAAAGATAATGACTAATTACTCCTATTTACAGGTGAGGATTTTTCACTCCTATTTACAAGTGAGGACTCATCACTCCTATTAAAATATAAGGACCATTCATTCATTCCTATTCACAGGTAAAAATTTAGCACTTCTTTTACAGCTAAGGAATCACTACTCCTGGTCACAGATAGGAACTCATTACTTCTATTTTGCGTTATCAATGACATTGCTATATAATTGAACTACAATTCAAATTTTGCGTGTAGTGCAGGGCTGTTATAGCTTGGTACTAACCGACGGTAAGTTATTTCCCTCTTATGAGCATTATTTCTTAGACATTAGCTCGACACGAGCTGTTGTGTCGGAGCTTCTAAATTATACCTAAAGTATTTTTTATGAAGTATTACTTCCTCAACCCATGGTCGCCTCGGGCTGTTGTGGCAGAGGTTCTGACCTACGCCAAGCTTCATTTTTATGAGTGTTATATCTCCAACCCTTGCTCTGTTGTGGCAGAGGTTCTGACCTACACAACCCTTGCTCTGTTGTGGCAAAGGTTCTGACCTACACCAAGCTTCATTTTTATGAGTGTTATATCTCCAGCCCTTACTCTGTTGTGGCAGAGGTTATGATGGGTGTCAGGAAGAGTCTGTTTCCTCAGGGGAGTTCAGAGCTGCCGCCGGGACGTCATAACTCAGGGACGCTGTCATGCCGCGGCTCATTTCTCACGAGAAGTCCCCGTAAAATCCTTCCATATCCTGTCGCCTTTTGATACATAAGATCCGACGACCGCAGGGCCCTTGTGCCCGGGCATTAACATCGTGGCGATTAATTTTCCTCAATCTGACAGAATTTTTTCATTCACTTTTTTCTACGAATAGATGAGAGAATAAATAGAATGGAGAGTAGCCCTGACACGATAATCGCGATTTATTTCAGTATGTATAAGACTGCTATCATTATATCATCTCATTGCTATAATTATATTATCGATAACTCCCTTCACGACGATTTAGTTGATTCGACCAATCGTGGTTGACGTAAATCATTTCACTTATGAAAAGTAAGGAAACATTTTGCAGCAAGATGGTTGAAAAGTATTTCTTTCAACTATGTAACCACAGTCCACTCCCGCGACAGCGAACGAATATTCCCCGAAATAAACAAAATTTCGTCCGGAAGAAAAGTATGAAACGTGTATTTTTCAAAGATATTGTTCGTGAATACCAGTAAATGTATACTGAAATATTCCATGATGCTTCAATATTGATAAAGCTGTGTTGGGAATTTCAAATTTATGTGAAATCAATAGGCAATAATAATTTTTCACTGATGGTGCTCCCGATAGGCAAAAAAATATCATTCGGTAATTTTAATTCCATGTTATATTTCGGGAATAAAGATGACTAAGAAACTATAATCTAATCTCTTCTCTTCTAATCTATCCAATTCTCCTCGTGATCATTTAGATCATTTACGTTCATATTCAATAAACTGTGTTGATCGTATTTTCAACTTTTGGAAGGAATAGGTGACCTCGCGTTACCTTGTCTAACAGATCGAAAGTTCTTTCCATTTATTTTGAGAAGAATTCAGCATATAAATTTTTGCTACTTCTAATATATAAATTAAGTGACGGTGATTTAAATTTTATGCATATTTTTTGTGGCCTGGAACATAACCACATAAACTATATTAAACAATATAAATTGTTATATTATTCCTGAAATTAAATTAATTTTTCTCAAAACCAGTGCAGCGCAGGTATTGCATGAGGCAAGAAAAGAAAATTCTGCATTTCAGAGCAAAAAAATGTTGAGCAAAAAATTAGTATCGAATGATCTCACGCAACTTCTTTCTTGATCCGAATTTATGTTAGAGTTTTATATTCTGAGTAATATTCAGTGTTCCGGCGATTAGCATGAAGCAACGCTGAATGTCCAACCCTTATATTCAGCGTTTCTTCATTCAGCGTTCAAGATTCTTGTCAAAATGAATACGTTGCAGAATGCGTGCTGGAAATGAGGCTCATGACGGAAAAAATAGCGGCTCACTCGTTTTAAACGTCACTTTAAAGGCGATTTTCCTGCTGCTCGTTTTCTTAAAGCTCCCACGTATCGATGGAAAGATCAAAACTGTTCTGCTGCACGGCAAGATTAATGTGTCTATAAATCGCCAGCCTTTCAAGGGCTGATGAATTAGTTAGCATGTCGATAGGCTAGATATAGGTGATTTTAGCCCACAGGCGATATTAGTGATAATACTAGAAGGAGTTATTTTTAAGTCAAGTTTAAATGCAGATACCGTCATAAATGTTTTTCTTCAGAGATTGGCAACATTTGTTGTATTAACCATAGAAATTTAAAATAAGAATTTGATGACTACCCATGCGTTTACAGCCCGTTTCGTTGAAAACCCTGATGTACTCAAACTATATGTAAAAATATGGAGATAAAAAATAACATAGTTATGAATTCATCGTTGCGTGCATAAAATGATATATGTAATATATACGCTGTAGACTTTGGGTCTTCCTTTTAATTAACATTACCTTCAATAATTCAGTCATTGGCCGAAGTACCTCGCCTAGTTAGATCAGTCATTATCATTAGAAACAGAAATCTGTAATTAAAATTTAATGTAATATAGATTTTATGCCAAATCATCAAAGTTGGAAAACAAATTCATCATTTCAAATTATTTTCTATTTCTAGTTCTGAAATTCATCATTTCTACCAGTTCAAACCATCATGGAATGCAGAAGTTTCCTTAACTAACGCAAGCATTTAAACTAATGCAAGCTGTTAACTGATTCATACTATGAAGTTAGGGGTGGGATGAAGTAATGTATGATATTGAGTATTGCTAAATGTTAGGTTATGCATACTATTAAAAAATCGTGCTATAAATAAATTAGGCGTTTCGAGTCGACAAATTCATGAAATACAAACTCCACCAAACTGTCACAAGTTTTTGAGATACAAAATTTAGAAAGAGGAGATGGCAACTCACCGCCTTTTTCATTAAATATTAAAAGTTTGCAAGGAATTTGGCCGTAAAAACGTCGTTTAATGAAAAATAAAATTTTCAGGAGATAAAATATTCGAAAATGAAAACGGCCACCTGGGTGCCCGTCAAATACGGCAGTTGACTTCTACAAGTAATGAATAAGTATACACATTAAAACAATTATGTAACAATGACAAAATGGAAAATTAAAATGCACCGTCAGTACATTGAATTTCTTACGGATATGAATAGGAATGGATTCAGTTTCCTAATTAAAACGTAATAAATAATACATAGAGTAATAATATACTTTCTTGTGGGATAAATGATTCCATTAATGGTGTTTTCATACATATCTTTATCATGATATCGGGCAAAAACTTTTCGGTTGTCTGTAAAAAATCGCTCGACTAAGCTATGAAAAAATATTTTCATTATGGTTAATATCACTTAATTTATTCTAATGTTGACTGAAAATTATTATTATGAACAATTTGAAAAATTATCTATGAAAATTTATGGTGAAATTAATCATATTCTTTATTGATAGCACTCTATCCAATGATTTTAAGACAAGATTACAATAAAGAAATAAATATTTTTCGTTTTTCATTGAGTTTTGAAAGCAATGTATTGATATTTCAAAAATTTATCTTAGTTTTATAAGAATCGCGTCTGATGTTCCACCCGAAGACTGACAAGCCGCGTAAAATTTAGTTGCTCTTTAAAGGGAATAACTATTCTCTAGATTTTAACATTTCATTTAATAAACAATCATTTCCAACATGCAGGCTTCCTTTTATATTATTCCTCTCGAGCGATGGGACAACATCCGGTAAAAGATCAGCCACATTTATAATTCTCTAAGAACATGGAATAACCGCGGATGTACCTTATGTTACTTAGAGTACGTATATATGCGTTGTGTTACTTACAAATTTTTGGCCTGCGTGCGAATTTTCTCGCGTTTCCTTAACAACTGGCACACGCAGCACTGGAATTATTTTGGTGCACACTAAAAACCTCGTTTGTCTAGAAAATTTCCAGACGTGACGATCGCTGTTTGTCATTTCACAACCAAGTCTAGCAGGCACACGAAACCTTCTTGAACAAAGAAACGACATTTTCACTTCGGGATTTTCTCAGGTACGACGACCGTTCAGGTTCAAGCCGACGCACTTCTCACTGGTCGGCTGAAGATGCGCTGGGAGCGAGAGCCTCTTTAGAGGTACTGAGCCTGCCTGCTCAGTTAGTTGTGAAGTCTTTACGAGAAGACGATGCTGGGCTCTACCACTGCAGGGTAGACTTCAGAAAACAGCCCACGAAAACTACACGAGTTGTGCTCAGTGTTGTCGGTGAGTGCGGGTAAACAAGAAATGATGACGTTTTGTGTTGGTCGAGGGAAGCTGAGGGATTTCTGTCGTTGTTTTTGAGTGAAAATTGTTCGTATCTTATGGAGTATTTTTAGTCCTCAATCTCTCAAGCCTTATTGTCACGATGCTAAATGTTAGAGCAGGAAGATAAAGGATGCTGCTGTACCCCAACTGTGAAAGTAAAGAGTTCTGACATTTGAAACAACAGCTGCAATTTACTTTTCAAAATGCAATTTTTTACACACAGGTATCAATTTTAGCTGGAGAAAGTAAATTCTGTTTTGCATGGGATTTTAAATCATTAAGCTTCTCATCTTAGTGTTTGCAATTTGGAATGTTTTCGTCAAATGAATTAAAATTTGTACAGTTGCAATGTTTAATAAATAGATTTTGAAAACTCTCATCTTTTCCACAATGTCATTAATAATTAATTATGCACAGATTTCACTTACTAATATATTGATCTATAATTCACTAAAATTGCATCACAGCTTGATTATCACAGGAATTCTCTAGCAAAATGTTTCCATTCACATATATCGTCTCCATTGGAAAATTTACACTGATATTTTTATCCGTAGCTTCTGTTTCCACTTAGATTACATGTACAACTATTGAACGTAATAATAATCGGATTCCAGTCGTATAATCTTATTATTTCCTTTTAATAAGATTATTATTTATATCGTATCTAAACATTTCGACTTATTTATCACTGCAGTGCCCCCGACGAGCGTTGTCGTGTACGAAGGCTCGTCACTGCCGCACGCCATGTCGAGCGTCGTGGGGCCGCTGCACGAGGGCGACATGGTCACTTTAACCTGCGTCGCCCAGGGCGGTGAGTGGCAAATTTATTTATTTTTTCGTTCTAAGTTTCCAATTCCATCCATTGATGAAACGCGTTTTGGGTTAACCATCTTACGTAGAGGGACGGTCGATGCATTCGGTACTTTCATCGTACGTACTTGGAACGGTCAGCACAACCTTCGATAACGGGGACGGTTTTCGCCACGGGGAACGGTTTTTATTGTTGTTCAATAAGCCAATTAGTGAAGGATTATAATGTATTTATTATCTGACCAGACAGCGTTTTGTGCGGTTTTCATTTGCCTAGTTTTGCTTGAAAAAATTAGACACTAAACGATTTTTATAGGTTCAGGAAAGGATTTCATATAGATATGTTCTGGAGCATTTTTCAGTAGTTTAATTTTAATCATTGATTGCTTTGCCACGGGGCAAATGATTTTTATTCATTGGAATGGCTCAAGATATAAAAAAATTATGCAATACTTTTTGACAAGTAAGATCATTATTAATAAATAATTCCAGAAATAATCTCATTTAAGTAGAGATTTTTGTCTTGGCTGATACTACCCCAAGCAGATATTTAATACTCGAAAAGATCATCCTGTGATTTAATACTTGAAAATAATATTGAGATACTGTAATGAAGTGTTGCTGCAAATTTCCCACTACTGTATGTCAGACTACGAAGTTTAAGTAGGACCGACTCTGACGTCGGTGTTAAATTGATTATAGCCGTCAGATACTATGCCGATCCCGACTTGCGTCCTGGTTCCTCTCTAATAGGATTTTGACTCAGACGCCAGGGTAAGTTGCTGCTTTGGTGGTGAAATTTAGATTGGAATACTTGATGGAATATCGTGATTTTTGTGTATATAACGACTTGTCATGCGTAGATATTTACTTTGTTTTCTGTTGTAGGATCGTGCGTTATTCTCGGATCTCAATGCTCTAGCTCTCTCCTCGCATTTTGCTCCTCGCACTTTAGCTTCCTCCGCATTTAATTTGTTAGCGTTAAATTCATATGCCGCACCTGGTTGATCTGTTTAATTTCGATTTACCGTTTATCTCTAATAAATAAATTTAAGAAAGTCTGTTTGAGTAATCATCCGCTCCGTCCAAGCTCTTGCTGATAAAACCAGTAGGGAAGTTGCATTTAATTTCCGCGGTCATTGGTAGACGTGACAATTAGACCATCCGAACTTTTGAGGTGACGCGATTAATTAGCTATTATTCGAGATTAGTTCGTCACAGATACCAAGTATACATAATAAGGCTTTACATTAGTGAAGATGCACTTGATCGCTATGATTCTCTCTCACTCGCATTATTCGCTTATTGTTCCAGATGTCCAATTGAATGAATTGGAAAAAGAATAATAATGAGCGAGTCAGTTACGGCCGATTATTGGTCATGATACCGCTTCCTGAAAGTGCAGTAGGAATATGAATAGGAAATTAGTTAATTTTTTAGTCTCAAAATCATCACCAGTGTTCCACTACTTCACTGAAAATCCACTTATTAACAGTTCGTAGTTATTCCATAAATTTTATTTATGACCAATGTTTGAATATTCTGATGAAATTCCTGCCATTATACAAATCTATCAATATTTGAATGAAATGTTGCTTATAAACGGTGTTTTAAAATTTGAATGAAATCTAAGTTATTACCAGATATTCACTATTAAAAGAAGATATTCTCCAGTATTTCCCTCTCCTGATTAGAATTTGTCCCGCATCCGCAGGAAAGCCTCCGCCAACCGTCGTTTGGTTCGAAGACACTAGACTTCTCGAGAATTTAATGGAGTCAGAAATCAACTATTCAGCCTCTTCCATGTCAGAACTTGTATTCCCCAACATCTCCACGGAACAAAGCGCAACTTTGAATAAAAACTTCACCACTTCAGATCTTGCGCCGATATCCTTGGCACCTCACACAGAGAAGATCCCTGATGCCATTAGACTGATGTTCGATGGCAAGCCTTACAATACATTGTCTCTAGGTCCGCTTACCAGGCAAGACCTGAAAAAGCTTCTCACTTGCGAAGCATCAAACAACAACATCACCTTGCCTACTTCTGTCGTAGTCATGATCGACATGAACTGTGAGTAATGCCACATGTTGTATTCTTCAACTACTTCATTTATTAGGAGTTTATTCAATGGCTCTTCTAGCTTTAGTGTCTGTGATTTTTATTGTATTTCCTAACAAAATTTGGAGGTGGGCAGGACTTTGCATTAGGGTCTGCCTAAGACTCGGGGAGCACGTAAATCAGTTTCTCTATGTCCGCCTCGGCTCAGGGTTTGAATGGTAGCGTCTGGGCAGCTTGCTAGCTCGGTATGACTCGTCTCGGCTAACCCTCCTCATGCTCTTAGGCGACTATATAGTTGGAAATGATATTCTGACCATAAACTGATTTCGATTGCTAGCCCATTAACCCCAGAATAACTTGGCGCTGACTGTAGTGCCTATTCGGCCGAAGTCTGGGCGGTCCCCGAATTTTGATAGGGTTAGGTTGGGTTAGGTCTCAACTACATCAACATCGCTGGATCGTCTCAGTCGCGGATTTGAGTGAAATGAAGCCTGAATAATTTCAACAGTCTGTTTCAGAGGAAAATTTATGCACTATAATTTTTATTGCGGAAGCTTGAATAGAATCACTAGTATCTGTTGACCATCTCCGTCGTGATTACATTTATTCGATGAGTCTATACCCAGCAATATTTTAGAGGCGCAATAACCAACATGCATTAAATATAATATATCATACTTGGAAATAGATAAAATGCTCTTTGGTGGTGAAAAACGTACAGTAATTTGATGCAACTAGCATGGCGTTACAGAAAAAATCCGCGAACTGATATAAGGTTCAATAAAATTTTATATAGTGGGATTCGTTGCGGGATCCTGTAATCCAACTTCCTGGAGGCTTATGTTGAGGAACGGCTTACATGCGAGGCTGTCCCGCGCATGTTCCTCCTCTTATCCTCATTTAATTTCCTTAAATGACGACAAAAATGAATGGTAATAAACGAAAGAAAGTATAATTGACAAACATTGATAGTTTGAACCTGTAATTCTGCAAGTTTAGTGAAAACGCTTAGAAAGAGCGATTGCTGATTGCATTCATATAAAAAAATTACAGGTTTCAATTCGAAAGCAATTTATTACAATTATTCATGAACTGAACTCATTAGATTCCAATAAAGTACTAATTGTGGGAAGTTAAATAGTTCGAGTTGAAAAACTTGAAGATTATTATTTATTTCATAGTCAGAATATGTTATATTATAAATTACATTTTACTTTAGTTGTATGATGCAACACCTGACGGTTATAGCTTGTATTGCTCGACACCGCTAGTAAAATCAAACGCGAGGACTTGAACGAGAAGTTTTTAGCCGAGATAATGGCTAGCGGGGAAAGTGTGTTTGAGTCTGTACGAAAGTTGCACATGAAGAATTAACGAAATATAATATCATTTGCATAATTGCATAATAGAAATCAAGATAATGTTGCTATCAATTACATTATATGACGAAATATTGAAAACATTTAATGATGAATATTCTAGTAGTTATTTGAGGTTTACTTCAAACGTAGACGAACAACGCCAAAGTGGGGTTTTAGTTAAATAACTGAACAAACGATGGACAAAAGTTAATATATAAGTAGTTTGGATCGGTTACAAGTAGTTTGATATTTTAGGAAAGTTGAAGAAAATGTTATTCATTTTGATATACGTAAAAAAGGTGCATATTGCACTTCTGTACATATGATATGATTTGCGTGGCATGAAAAATGCATCTTGATTTCGGAGAAATTGATGGTAATTTACGGAGATGTTGTAGAAAAAACGTCTGCAAATATACTGCATAGGTGAAAAAGAAGCTTCGAAATTATAAAAAAAATTGCAAATATTTTTTTCCAACAGGAGTTTAGTGAAAATTATTATAAAATGATTATATTTATAATTGAGAAAGGAATGCTAATATCATTGAAAATTTATACAAAAAGTGTAAAAAAATCGAGTGTTATATCATCTAATTCAGACACAAATTGTTCAAATACTCGACTTTTAATTTGCCAGCATATGTTCACGTCGATGTCCTCCCAACTCAACGAGACTGCACGGTAATCAAAATCGACAACATCGTTAAGATAAAGCACTCACACATTATCATTTTTTCCGCCATGGAAACTTGACATTTTGATTATTTATGTTGCAGTGGCAGCGCTGAACATTA